ATCATTGTCCAGTGTGCCTGGTTTTGAACCCATTTTCCCGAAACCCTTATACCCTAAGGCAGCCAGCTTCGGCACCAAAACCAGTGCCGAAGCCCTTCCTGGCTGGGCACAGGTGCAGTGGCCCCACACCCTCGAAAGCTATAGGGATTTAATAGGGGACGGAGATATTCCCCCTAAAAGGAAAGCCCACATGGAAAATAAAATGGAACATGGACACTTCTATACATGTTGCTTTGGGGGACTTCTGCTCGAGGAATTTCTGCAGCATCTCGATTGCAGGCATTGGTAGTGGTCCAGGAGATGTCTTCAGCGAGGCTGCCCTTGAACGGGGTACACGCAGCTGGGCTGAAGAGATGGCAGCGTGTCACATTGAAAGTACTTAAGCTTAATAGGTACTAGTAGGGAGGGAGGGATATCAATATATATATATATATGGGGACCATGTCGGGGTTGTATTTCAACATAGAGTTCACATTGAGAGCATTTAAAGCCTTGTATAACCTCAGTTTCAATGTCATGTTCCGTTTCCTTTTCCATCTGAGTCTCCATGATAAAAGGGTGACCTCCCCTTAATCCCTAATTATATGCAGGCGTAGTATCGGGTTACCAAAGCCCCAGGGTTCCTCCCAAGCCCTAAACCCTAAACCAGAGACCCTAAAACCCTCTACCTTGGACCCTAAAGCTTAAACCTAAAACCCTCTTCCCTAGACCTTACAACTTAAGCGTAGAACCCTAAACCCTGAAACCCTGAACTCCTATAATCCCGGCCCTACAGGTCCTTCAATTCAGCTTCCGACCCCGAACCCCCTAAACCCTGAACCCTTAAACCCTAAACCCTGAACCCCTGAACCCCTAAACCCTGAACCCTTCAACCCTAAACCCTGAACCCTTAAACCCTAAATCCCATTTGAGAGGCGGGCCTTTGCCTGGATATCGTGCAAAAGGCCCAGACTCGCTCTGCAATGCTCTTTAGGGTTAGAGGTTAGGAGGTTGGAGTTTAGGAGTTTAGGCTTTAGGGGTTTAGAGTGTTTAGGCTCTAGGGGTTCATAGGGGTTTGGAGTTCAGGGTTCAGGGTTATGGTCTAGGGTCTAGGGATTATAGGGACCATATCAGGCTATTTAGGGATTATACAGGGACATGGGGATAGCACTGTACCCCAACAATAAATTAATGGAAAACTAGTAAGTGCAAGAAGCCAGTTGCACTGGTGGACACCAGGAAGTCAACGCATCGACTGCGGATCTACTAAGTCGAAAGTTCCTCCGGGACTGGATGGCCTACGAGCAGGGGGAGGTGGACATTGCTCCAGGAACTGCTAAAAAGATAGTAGTATCCCATATATCCCCTATTTAACACATACTTTCCATATCATGTTCATTTGATGTCAGATTTTATTTACATTACACATATTAATTAGATGCGAAATATTGACTTAGAATGGAAGTTGCAGTGCCAGGCCGCCTCAGTGGCTCTGCCCCATCGTTATGATGCGCTGTATTCAGCTCCAGGCCACTCAGCAGGTGAGAGTGAAAGACTTCCTGTAACCCCAGTCACCTATAGCGTCGAAGTAAAGAGTTTCTGAGTGACTAGTGAGTATGACCCATAAAACTATACGTACTTGGGGGTACAAGTAAACCTTAAACCCTACATAACATAGTAGCTTCCATTGTCTTTTCCATTATACAAGTTCTATATGTCCGCTAACTAACCACTTTGAAGTGTGTCCGGGGGGGAGGGGGCATGCTGAGGTGTTTCGGATGGTCTCAAGTCCACTGGGAGAGGGCTTGCAGCGCATGCGGGCATGAGAGCAACCCCAACGGGAGTGAAAGTGAGACTGAGAAAAAGAGCAGGTTCCCCTAAAACCCCGGGGGTGAAAAGAAACAGAGAGAGAGAGAGAGGGATGCTCTTGCAATTAGTGCTACTGCCATGTTGAGCGTTTGGCAAAGGACGCAATGGTACAATCGCGCAGGCTCCAGAAGATCAGCAGACGGAAGAAATTAAATACCGCTGAGTTGCTGAACCGGTAAGCCGTTGTGTTGCGGAGACCAGACGGCCGCTCGGACTTGTCCTTTCAATATCATTGCTGACTTGAGTAGGGAGGAAGGTAAAAGAGGCACCGATTCTGTCACGAGGTAGGTACCAGGATGAGCTTGAGGTTGGGGGAAGTGAGTCCACTGCAAGGCGAGAAGAAGAAGAAGAAGACAAAGAAGAAGCGGCACAGCCGCACGGACAGCATCTAGAAGGTTGGAAAACGCGCGGCGGGAGCAGCACGCCTTGGGCCGAGCGTGAAAACAAGCAGGGAACATAATTGAGCCCTGGAGCCGTGAGAGAGGGTTGCGGGGGCTCGGTTAGCCGAACATGCTTCATCAAAAACACCTATACCCCCCTAAGCATATTAAAGGTACCCCCAATGCAGAGTAATGGCAGGCCTTGTGTCTGTTGCCAAGCCACCTGGCATCGCAAGTCAAGACTTGCCGTGCCCTCAGCCAGGCTTGGACTCCGCAAGGCAAGCAAATATGGGTTTAGGGCCTAGGGTTTAGGGTTTTGAGTTTAGGGTTTTGAGTTTATGGCTTAGAGTTTCGCGTGAAGAGCTTAGGATTTAGCGTTCATAGGGTTTAGAGTTTGGGGTTTAGAATTGGGGTTTTTCAGGGTTCAGGGTTCAGCGGTCATGTTGGGGGTCCCCATGAAAAGGATTACTGTATATTGCGCTCTATATTGGGGTCTCCCTATGTAGGGAAACGACCACGTGGTTTAGGTTTAGGCTTAAATAGGTTTACACAGGGATTATAGGGGCTATGTAACGGGATAGGAGTGATATAGGGTTATATATAAGTTAACCTAGAGCTTACATAGGGTTGTTTAGGGACATGATATAGGGAAATGGAAAGCCAGATGGACTCTAGTGTATTATTTCAAGTTTAGGGAGATTATCCTAGTACTGGTGATGTAGGGATTCTATAGGGCTTATAATATACGGAAATATAAAGATACGACCGCAATACTAGAGACTGCAATAAAATCATGGAAATGAAATAGGGGCGGGATTATGTACTGAAGCTGGGGTTATGTAGTCCATTATTATCGGCACTGTGAATTCTAAAGATGAGGGTTCCCACCGTGGGAGTCCATGTAATGAGGGTTATTGTTTGGGGGGCTATGTTGGGGTCTCCCCTCATTATGGAAATTGTCATATAGTAGTTTCCATAAATCGGGGGACCCCAATAAAGACCCTGAAATACTATGATTCTTTTTATAGTTCTATAGGGACCTCTACTCTTGGGAGAGCCTAAACCCTAAACCACTAGTATTGCTGATGTGCGATTCATTTTCAAAATATTGTTGTCCACATGATTCCTCACCATTTGGGATAATATCCCTATACAATCCCCGAAGCCCTAAACCCCAAAACCGCTAAACCCTAAACCCAAAAAACCCTAAACCCAAAACGGAGCGGGCTTCCTGGACTGAGGCTTGCAGAACTCCAAGAGGTCAGCAGACAAAAGATCACGACTGTGCCAGCCGGCTGTTATATGTGGGCTATACAGGGATTACTTTTATAGGGGATTAAATAAGGGATTCTAGGCATAATGGAGAATCAAGCGGTTTGGAGTGTGGACTAGACTTTCTGCTAGTCATTCGCACGCCACAGAAGCTGTGCACAGCACAGTGTTTGCAGCATCCGTCCGATTTGACCGCCGGAAAAGCAGGTCGCGGCTGGACCTTCCCACATCGGGCGTTCTCATCGCAGCAGTTGGGGACGAGCACTCGACTGCTGCAAAGTGGTTGCAGGCTGGCTTGATCTGACTGCTCATTACAGCTGTTGTGTGATGCTGCATCAATCCGTGTATGAGGCCCAGTTTTCTGGTCGGTGGCTTGGCATGATGGTAGCAAGAAGTCTGTGGACTGTTTCGAGGATGTAGCAGTGTTGGGCCCCTGGCAAGATCACCAGAGCATGTGTGCAGACCCAGGTTAGTGTCGAAGGAGTATCTCTGCGTTTGCCTGGCCGAGCCTCCTGCACAAGAATTCGAAGTTGCTACTCCTCTTCGCGTGGTGACCGCATCTCCTCAAAATAGAGTGCGTCTTGTTGGTGCTGCTTGCAAGTTCGGCTTCAATTGTCTCTCACACTGCTGAGATGGGGCCTCTGGATGATGAGAAGACCCGGGCATTTGTGGATGCTTCGGGAAGAGACTGTAGCCTCATTAGGAACGGTTTCTCATTTTCATAATACTATAACCCTACACCTTTCTAGTATAACCCTAAACCCTTACAGCTCTAGAGGGGAATTACAGGAGAAGCCCGCACGCGATGTTGGGCGCTGGCAGTTCACCAGCTCTCTGCCTCAGCTGGCAGATCGTGTGTGACCCTACTTCGTGCATCTCCACGTACAGGCGTAGTAGGGTTGGTGGAATGTGCAGCATATGGTGTTTGACTTATTACCACGTCAGTTCTACAATGTGGTTTTAAGGAAAGGTTTTGAAGCCGGTGTGTGCGACATCAATTGTTGCATTTCTTGCAGCAGGTAGGACGCACCAGATCCGTGCACACTTGGCGAGCATTGGCTTGCCACTCTTTGGGGATACCATCTACGGGAAATTCATGACGGAGGAAAGGGGCAGTAATAGTGAGCCGCCCAAGGCTTTTGCTGCGCTTCCGCTGCTTTGAGAGGACCTGGTACATTCAGTCCCTTCGATTCAAAACTATACGGACCGACTTTTCCTGCATTGCCATCAGCTCTCTCTTCTGGGCTTGGACGGAGAGAAGGTGCAACTGGAGGCCTGCGTCATGACAGCTCACAGAAGCAACACTTGAAGCTTTAGGGCTGACAGCACCTCTGTAAGGCGCCCCTGCCGGATGATCTGAAGACAATTCTTGCCATCTTGGGGCCAGAGGTTGATTGGCCAGCTCTCATAGAAAGGAGGGAGCATGGAGCGGAAAAAGCACGGCGATGTATATCATGGGCCATCTCATCAACCCCCCAGAAAAAGGAAAATCCTGCGCAGGTGCTGCAACTCACGTGCCCAGATGAAGTTGGTCCTGGGATGCTGGTGTCATTCTCGTGAGCCCTTTGGCACCTTTCTTCGCAGCACACTTCAGTGTTCTACACTTGGTTCCATGCGCCAAGCGCATAGCATAAGCAAGCGCCGATGTTCATCGGTCCCATGTTGCTTCGTCGCCAGCTACAGTGACCTGCAATTCAATAACGGGAGTTAACTGCGACATGCACAGGTACTATCCTCTGGAGGAGAAGCTCGAGGACAGTGCAACAGGCAACCTAGCGACAATATCCGGTGTCCGGAGTCCAACGGCAGTCAACAAAATGGAAAGCTCAAGATTCATTTCTCATCGAGTCATGACGAAGGAATTCTCAGTTGTACAGAGTCATCGCGTTTTGCATCATCCTATATCATCGCAGTCTCGATTTCATGTTCCAGGTCCTTTTCCATTTGATTCCATTATTTGGGTAATATCCCTAAAGCCCAATAGACCCTAAACCCTGAACCCTAAACCCTCTACAACCCCAAATAGACCCGGATCCTCTTGAAAGAGGGACCCGCTATTGGAGATCACTTGCTATGTGGAGCACACAGGATTTCATCATGACCCTGCCTTGACAAGGCGTGGATATCCACGAAGATGACAGAGCCCGACTGGAGGAGGGGGCTGCCATAGCCGCAGCCACGACCTAAGAAGCATCACCAGAAGTTGAGTATGACATGCGTAGGCAGGCCATGCCATTTTGAGGTCCTACATTATTTCTTTTGCGCTTTCTTTCGGCATCTGATTCTACATTGTTGGCAATTTCTTGAGGCCGCAACACCCAAAGGGACAGGTTCTGACTGCCACTCTGCCCAGGCCAGGCAAGAAGAGCTGAGTGCGCAGGGGGTCGGGCACCTAAACTTTGATTTCATGCTGTTGTCCCAAGACTTTCCCAATACCCCTAACTGGGGTTACAAGGCTCCAAGTAGTAAGGACTTAGGCATGAATACAGGGTAGTTGGAGCGTCTTAGGTCAGTGATAGCCTGCAGCATGCTGTTTTGAGATCCATCCTAGGTGGTCATGGCAGTCCCTCCTCCTCCTACAGGGGAATTTGCAGGTTTTTCTTATGCCGCAGCCTCGTTTGCGGCAGGCCGGGTTTGGAGAGTGAGACGCTTCAAAGCTTTTTGCAGAGTTGCCGCCAGCCGCAGGGCAGAATGCGATAGTCACCCGGTCCAGCGGAGAGGCCATGGCAACTTACTGTAGGGGCCTAAATCATTGCCAAAAATGGGAAAGAACTTGGAAAATGAAATGGAAACTTGGAGTATGCGGGACCTCAAAATGAAGTGGTCAATTATGTAGGCCCTTTGCAGTTTGTCTCGGTCTGCTGGAAGACCTGAAGGAATCTGGCTGTTACATCCTGGAGGCTGCGGAAAGAGAGTTTAGGCGTTTCGGGTTTAGGGTTAGGG